ACTTTATATATATGAAGTAGATGTTTTATATATATACATAATCATGAACCCTAGACTCCTAGAGGGAGCAGGCTGTGCAGGCTGCGCAGCCTGTGCAGGCAGCGCAGCCTGCGCAGTAAATTCAAAAAATCTTCGTTTTGCACATCACTAGTACTATCAAACATCTATAATAGTATCTATGTATGTATATACATACATATGTATGTCTATGTACCTGTGCCTTAATATGTTAACAGTTAAATTGTGCTGAATTCTTGATAGTCTAAAGGCATCTTTTCTTATATTTTTCAAATTTAATTGCAATATTTGCTTTTTATGCATATAGAGAAGAATAAATTATTAGATCAAAGAGAACCAGCCTAAATTTTAGATAGAATTAATGTTATGACAATAGTTGATACTCTATACATTATGTTGGGCTTTGAAGACATAAGTCTTGATCGATAGAGTTCTAAATCGGTATGTAATTTTGAAGTTTTACAGAACCACACAAGTGACAGATTAGTTGGTATATCGGTCAAATCTGTAATGTAATATAAGTATATTGATAATTTGTGCATCATAAATAGTAATCTAATATAGTTTATGTGTTATAAATTGTAGTTTATTATACAGTTATAGTTTGTGTATAAAGATTTGTACATCACTAATTTGTAGTCTAATAGACTAAAATTAGTATATATAAAGGCAAAAAATTAGTAATAAGAGTTAGCTTTATCTCTCTCTAGTAATTAACAAGTGTTTAAACATAAATAAAACACTGCTTATCTGTAAAACTAGCTTCGTAGTGTCTTGTGTCCGTCGCTGCAGTGGTATGATATAGGTGTGCTGTGTGGTAAATGCTATTGAAATCTATTTAGTGTAAAATTAATATAACTGAATTGAAGCAGTGCTCATATAATTGAGCTAGATTAATAGTAGAAACCTACCTGACAATTAACCTTGAAAATAAAACTGAATAATGCAAATATATCAAACAATTATAGTGTAACTTATAATAATAGATATGAAGAAGCAATTACAACAATATTTATTCAAAGAATTAAGTTTTATTGTTATAACTTCGTTATATATCTTGGGTGTAGTATTAAAGAACTATAGTTATATATACTATTTCTTACAATGATTGATATCTTGAATATATAGTACATACATATGTAATAATGCTAAACTATAATCATTCAAGCCTTTCAAATTAGCCTATAACTATATATAGACTTTTTTTGAGAATTTCAAATAATTATTTATTGTTATAATGTTGTACTTGTTTGTAACTGTTAAGCGTGAGTTTCAAAAACCTTCAATAATATTATCAGATGTCTTGTTTGAGATAGATGATTGTTTTATATTTCAAAAACTTTTACAACAAGCTAATGATGAGTATAAAAGTGATGAGGTAGTTAAAGTTGAGATTTGTTGTATAGGAAGCAAGCAATATAATACTGTTGCATCAGAGGTTAAAAGTAGTTTAGCACTATGCTGAAAGGATGAAAGAAATATATCATATATATGGTTTACAATTAAAGATAGATCCTTATAATCAACTAGTTCTCACATTTCTAGTAATCCTAATAATTATAACAATCAGCTAAATGCATTTAATATTTTGATAAAGCAGTCAATGCAATGCCTTCTTTTTCTATTAAAATCTGGCAATACTAAATGTGATAATATATATAATGAGATTTTTAGCATCTTACAAAAAAAAAAGGTTGTGGATGGTTAAATGAAAAAGAAACTACTGTGGGCAAACAATTTTTAGAAGATCTTAATGCTTTACTTTGGGAGCTTGACGAATATCATGAAAAATTAAAAAATTAGAGTTGCCAAATTCCTGAATTTATTTTATTGCTATCTGGTTATCAAAATAATAAATATTATAGAAAAGAGTCTCACCACAAAAAAGGAACTTTGCAGTATTCTAAATTAGAATTATTAATTGAAGCTATTGAAAAATGTATATCTCAACCTTGGGCAAGAAGCAAATCATGGAATGAATTTGTAGAAGAAGTTTTTAAATTAGTATCATGTGTTCAAAAATATATTAAATATCTTGAAAGTGTTAATGAAAGTGTTAATACAATTCATAAAGCTGTACAGCCTAATGAAATCCATTAGATGACAGTAATATTGAAATTCAAGCAGAATGTTTTAGCCAAAATGTCAAAGAATGTTATAATCTATTAGCTGCAAAAATGTCTAAAGCAAATAATTATGAAATTATTTTGCTTGATGAATATTTACCTGAAAAAAATATGTAAAATATACTTTTATTAAGAACTTACAATTAGATACAACAATTATGCTTTATCAATATTATTACGGCAATTATTTTAAAACTTTAAATTATATTTGGTATATTTCTCTTGAACCTAGTAAAAGATTAGATAATTTGCAAGCAAAAACTATAATTGAAATTCAAGAAAAACTTCTATATTACTTTACACAAGCAATGAGACAAAATATATTTGAAAAGATATTAAATTTTTATAATTTTTGTTGACTAAGTTTATAGTTTATTAAAATTAAATTAATAAATTTGTTAATTTGTTATTTATAGTATTCACTTTTAACTCGAATTATACTGCATGTTTTATGGTTATTGTATTATGATTTAACTAGTGATTTAGTACTGGTGTTACTGAAAAATAAAGTAAATAGATGAGAGACTTAAGCTTATATTGGAGTTAAATGATTTAGAAATTGTTGTTGATCTTTGAGTTAATAATAGATTTAATAGTACAAAATTTAACATATTTTGGAATGAACTTACAACATATTTTAAAGAGGTTAATACTTAATATTTTATTATATTTTAGTTAAATTTATATAATATTTAATTAATTTAATATAAATATATTTTAGACCACATCTGCAGTTCAAAATAGATGTTATGGAACTATACTTTATATGCCATACTTTATATCTGTTCAAGATTTAAAAGATATCATAATATCAAGACTTAATCAAAAAAAAGATCAAAATTTAATTACTGATTTTTTAGTTCTATCAGACCAATAGATTGCTTTACAATTTTATCCAAAAAATCTATAGGCAAAATCTAGTATAAATTATGTTGGTTGGTTTGAGATTAAATATAAAGTTCAAGTATAGCAACATAAAAAGTCACATCCTGATGCTTATTATTGTCATACTATTTTTAAATATCTTCGTTATTTTGCAATAAATTTAGAGAATATAGAGCACTAATATTTTTTGATGATAAACACAAAGTTCTAATTAGTGAAGATGTTGCAACATCAACTAGAGTTCAGAATAAACAAGTAGCTGTGCCTCTTTCTACTGTATTAGATTCAAGTGATCATGATTTTACAAAATTATCATTAACATCATCAGTAATGTTATTAGTTACAATACCTGAAGATATTACAGATTCATTTTATAATAGACAAGTATATGTAACATATAAAGATACAATTTTTCAATCTAGTTCTGCACTTTGACATAGTATAGAATTTTATCATAATTTAAATCATTTTTATAATGATTTATTATCTGAAATTTTATTAATTTATACAGATGGAGGACTAGATCATAGATGTACATTTGGTTCAGTTTAAATTTCTTTAATATGTCTTTTTCTTAAAGATAATTTTGATATGTTAATTGCTGTGAGAACTTCACCATATTATAATTGGTCAAATTCAGCAGAAAGGGTTATATCAATAGTTAATCTTGTATTACAAGATGTGGCCTTACAGTATGATCGAATGAGTGAAAGTTGTGAATTAGAATTTGCTCAACTTAAAATATTAGAATTGATTTGTTAAAAAGCAAAAAATAATCAACAATTGAAAATAGAATTATTAGAATCAATTAAAGATATTCAAAAGATTTAAATGAAAGAACAATGTGATTAAAACTTCATGATGATTATTTTCTTATTGGCCAAACTGCGACAGATACAGAAATTGATCAGTTTTTTGAGGTATTTATTTTATAAAATAGAGATAGGATCTGTAAATATTTATAGTTAAAAATAAGTATTTAAAGAATTCTAATATTATCAAAAAATTTATAATTAAAAAGTATGAAATTAATAATATATTGTATTTATTTAGGTTATTTATACAATTGATCCAAATCTTGAGCAAACAATAACTACATCAAATTCTTTAAAAAAGTGACAACTTTATAATGATTTTTTAAAATCACATTGTCAAACTTGAACCTATATATTTCAAGTTAAAAAATGTAATAGTATGAAATGTAAAATATATCAATCTATTCAAATTCCTTTTAATGTATTTGAATATCTATCATATTTACCTGATCTGGAACTTTCTACTAGTATATAAGATCATAATATACAATTAGCTTCTCAAAATACACTCTATAAAGATCAATTTTTTAATAGTAATACTTATAAAACAATAAGAAAAATGCATTTATAGTGGCAAAATATATAAATAGACCAGAATTTGAGTACACATTTAGAAAAGGTATAAAGTTAGAAAAATTTTCTGTAACTATTTATTTATTTTGCTTATTTAGCTAAAGAACATTACAAAGAATTTGATGATATATATGGAAAACCAACAACTAAAGAATATCGATTATTACAACAAAAAATTACAAGTGAAGAAACTCAATCTGGAATATTTATAAATACGAAAGTTCAACTTCTAATTTGCTGTGATTTTTGTGAAAAGTATTGCTGTATTTATAGTGATAAATCTTTAAAGGTTTCTGAAATAATTATACAATATTTCGAAAATATTTCTTATAGCTGCAGGTCTCCAATTCTTTTAAATGAAAATCTATCTTTTCAACAACTCCATGTATATCAATTGTGATTCACCTATTAAGCAAAATTATTACTTATGTTGATTAAAGAATGTTGATTTATGCTATTGGTGTGGGGCGGAAGAAAGTATTATTGAACCATCTGATGAATTAAAATCACAGCTTAAGACTATTTACCCACTTTGTATTTCATGTAATGCTAATGGTCATGAATGGTCTACTCCTGCACCAATTGTATTTTAAAGCAAAAATAAGAAAGTTCATATTTAATATATAGTTTATATTAATCATAACATCAATAAAATTGAAGATTTATTTGAGATATATATTAATTTTGAGTTGTGTTTATTTATTATACTTGTTTAAATTAACCCCCTCCCCCCGGCTCTCTGCTAAAAATTTTGACGTTAAACAACTAATTAACTTTAAATGGCCTAGTTATAAAACTTAAAAAATAAAAAATAAAAAATAAAAGTAAACCCTGTGACTATAAAATACTGTTGACCCTCTCAAAATCAGTATGCATAGTGAATAGGTTCTGTATCAGTTTTGAGATTTGAAAAATCACATAATAAATAGTCAGAAATCAGCCAATCAAATTGCAGAATTGATGTGCACTAGGTTTGTAGGCAGATTTGCAATAATGAAAGTTTATTGATATTAGGATTAGCATTTATATTGGGGTTAGATGCAAGCAGATTATTTAGCAAATTTTTTTAAGGAAAACTTTTCGTTAGAGCATTAAAGAAGGTTTTTATTCAGGTTTTTGAAAAATAAGTGATTTGTGACAAAAAGTTCTGAAATCTGGTTTGTAGCTTGGAAAATCTGTACTACATACATTATACCCATCATTAAGTTGATTAGCTGAGTTTTATGTGACTATAAGTGCATCTGTTATTTGTGCAATAGATTATGTATTGTTCATTGACGATCTAAGGATGCTTAATCAATCAAAATTAATTTTAAAAATATGTAGGATTAAAAAAATTCATTGAATTTTGTCAGGTAGTTATTGAGAAACTTCGTTTAATTTTAGAAAGAACTGATCCGTCTATCAGTAAATTAAATTTTTTAAAACTTTGAGAGTAGTTTTTTCAATAAGGCGAGACCAACTGGATTCTGTGTTTTACATTACCCCCAGCATCCCCCTCTTCCTCATAGTAAAAAAATTTTGATAAATATATATAGAGGACTGGGCTATTTTGGAAAATTTTTATATAGTCACGGAACAATTCAGAAAATTTTTTTTCGAAAAAAAAGTTTGAAAATTTTACTATGTAAACCACAAATCCCTCTGGAGGGGAGAGTGGGATAATATAAACACAGAATTTAGTTGGTCTCGCCTAACTTTCTAACCAAATTGAATAAAATTTTTTTTTATTCTATTTCTTCACATTTCATACAATTAAAATAAAAAATTTTTATCTAATTCGAACAGAAAACTTTGTTCAAAGTATAGTTGTTAGGTGAAATCCAAAAAAGGAAATTTTAACAATAAAGTGTATTGTTATAATTCCTTTTTTAGGTTTCACCTAACAACTATAGATCAAAGTTCTAAAAATTCAACAGTACTTAAATTACTAAGGCTTCGCAAAGATAATTTTTTGTTTTGCATTAAATGACATTCGAAATTTTGATTTTATTTTTTATTTTTTATTTTTTTGTTAATCTATATAGCAAAGTCTTTAATTTTTAAGGCTTCTTGAAAAAGCATTTTAATTGTTCAAGTTCATTAATTTTTAAATCAGTTAAATAATAAGGCATTATAAAACTATATTGAATTGAAACCTATTGGTAACTTACAAAATATAAAAATGACTTGTAAATGTAATGGCTATGTACTAATCCCTTGTCTATTTTAAAATTTAAAAATTAGTGCGTATTAATAATCAACTTTCAAAACCTTCATTCCTTCCCAAAATAATACAAATTCAATTGATAAAAATTGGTCAAAAATGGAAATACTAATTAGAATAATTTATCTTTATGTTAGAGATTTCTATCAGTATGAAACTAGAAGACATTTCTAGAATAGAGCTGGATATATTTATTGTAAAACTAAATGTTTGTAATTTAAGAAAATTATTTCTGCATGGTGTCCAACAAATTTGTAAACTTTTAGGTCCAATGCTATGTTGAAACTGCTAATTAGAACTATTCAATTATGCTCAATCCACTTTTCCATACATATGTGCGTAGTGTAATGCTTGTGTGTATTAAATAAACCTGATCGTATCGACTTCATACTGTGCAGGATTAAATTGTGCTGTTTATGGCATAATTACATATAAGATCTACAACAAAAATTTCCTCAGAATTCTAGAAAAAGAAATTTTCATCAGGCCATTTTTGTATTAGGTAAATAAATGTAGAAATAGCTATTGCCGTAGCTATAGCTATTGCTATTACCCGTTTCATGAAAAAAAAAAAAAAAACAAAAACAAAAACTTATCCAAAACAAATCTAAAACACAATTTAAATATAGATAAATTTC